AGCAGATGAATGGATTAGAAAACTGTGGTACATCTACACAATGGAATACTACGCTGCTGTAAAAAAGAAGGAATTCTTACCATTTGCAACAGCATGGATGGAACTGGAGAGCATTATGCTAAGCAAAATAAGCCAGTCAGAGAAAGATAAATATCACATGATCTCACTCATTTGTGGAATATAATGATCAACGTAATTGATGAACAAGAATAGATCCAGAGACAAATGGTAGGGGAGTGGGGGGAGGGGTTAGAAAGCAACCAAAGGACTTGTACGCATGCATATTAGCGTAACCAATGGACACAGACACTGGGGCGGTCAATTGGGGAAAAAGGAGACTTATGTAAAACTTTAGTCAATAAAAAAAAGAGGGGGGGGCTCCCAATGACCAAAAATGGAACTATCTGAGCAACAAAATAAAGTAGCAGTGGACTATAATATAAAATATAAAATGCATACCCATGAGTCCATATTGATATCAAGTAATGAATAAATAAATACAAATCTCCCTTGCAGAAAAATTCCAAATAATTTTTATATAGATACTTTGCCCTCCAGGAAGTAGATAGAGCATAATGCCCCACTCCTTAAGTAGGTCTGCACACAGAGCTTCCTTCCAAAGAGCAGAGGTTGCCAAACGTTGCCAAAGAGAACAGTATGACAAAGGAGAAAAAAGAGTAACTTTCCAGTGGAACCTGACAACACTATCTCAGCCAGGTGGTCATGGTCAATGTCGGCAGTTGATAAGTCATGTTGATAGTATTTATAGTATTTACCCTTGATATAATGTGTTGAAAATGGAACTTCACCTCTATGATTTTCCTCTGAAAAACCTGTAACACCAGTCTAATCATGAGGAAAACATCAGACAAATTCCAATAGAGGAGCACCTACAAAATACTCAAGTTCTCCTCAAAACTGTGAAAAAATCATCAAAAACAAAGGAAGTCTGAGAAACTGTCACAGCCATGAGTAGCCTAAGAAGATATGAAAAATAAATGTAACACGGTATTATAACTGGGATACTGAAACAGAAAAAGACATTAGATAAAAACTAAGGAAATCTGAATAACTATGGATTTTAGTTAATACCAATGTATTATTTATTACTGGTTCATTAACTGTCGAATGTACCATACTAATGTAAAATGTTAATTAACAGAGGAAAATGGGTGTAGGTATACTGAAACTCTATGTAGTATTTTCTCAATTTTTATATAAATCTAAAACTCTTCTAGCCCTAGATGGTCTGGCTCAGTATAGAGCGTCAGCCTGAGGACTGAAGGGTCCCGGGTTCAATTCTGGTCAAGGGCACATGTATGGGTTGCACGCTCAATCCCCAGAAGGGGGTGTGCAGGAGATAGCCAATCAATGAGTCTCTCTCATCATTGCAGTTCTATCTCTCCCTCTCCTTTCCTCTCTAAAATCAATAAAAATAAAATTTAAAAAAGATAAAATTGTTAAAAAAATAAAACTGTTCTAAAAAATAAAATATATTTTAAAAAAGAAGAGAAAATCAGGATGTGTGACATCCAGGAGAAGCAGTCTAAAGAGAAAAAGGATAATAACATTTGACAACATAACAACAGAGGCTACTACCACTTGGTAACAAAAGGTATGCTGATAAATATGGGATACACTTAGGAAGAAACAGACTTTAATGTACTTCTCACAGACAAATCGATTTCAGGCTATCAACACTCCTGACATAAACCAATGATAATTAAGCAAGGGTAGTTTATAAACGTAGCAAACTTAGATTACATTTTTTAAAATATGTTAAAAACATGTGATGACTTAGCAAAATTATTTCAAGGGACATTTTCAAACTCACTAGCACCAAAATTTCCTTTGGAAGCTTTCAAATAAAATAACCAAGCTACTGATAACCTTTATTCTACTGCTTTTTAAAATGTATTTGACTTTAAATATTTTTTCAAACAAACTAGATCAAATAATGTTTTAATCAGTTAAGAAATAGTTACCTTCTTATAGGTTAAGGCAGTGATGGAGAACCTTTTGAGCCCGGCGTGTCAGCATTTTGAAAAACTCTAACTTAACTCTGGTGCCGTGTCACATATAGAAATTTTTTGATATTTGCAACCATAGTAAAACAAAGACTTATATTTTTGATATTTATTTTATATATTTAAATGCCATTTAACAAAGAAAAATCAACCAAAAAAATGAGTTTGCGTGTCACCTCTGACACGCGTGTCATAGGTTCGCCATCACTGGGTTAAGGGAACCTGTGAGGACAGCTCCCTTCAAATAAATTTTAATCCCAAAAAGCAGACAATCAAATCTCACCTTTACCAAAAAGCCAAATGTCTTTTTTTTCTTTATTTTTAAAAATTTATCTTTCTTGTTGAGAGTATTTCAGATGTCCCCTTTTTATTCCCCACAAACCCCCCTCCACCCTACCCTCACCCCTCCCCAGGCCTTCACTGCACTATTGTCTGTGTCCATGGGTTATGTACATAAATTATTTGGTTAATCTCTCCCTACCTACCCACCCACCCCTACCTACCCTCTGAGATTTGTCAGTCTGTTCCATGTTTCTATGTCTCTGGATCTATTTTGTTCATCAGTTTATTTTGTTCATTAGATAACACGTAAATAACTCCAACTCATAGAAACAGAGAATAGATAGGTTTCCAGGGGTGGGGGGGCAGGTGATGGGAAAAATGAGGGAAGATAATCAAAGGGTACAAACTTCCAGGGGTAAGATAAATAAGTCCTGGGGATCTAATGTACAGCATGGTAACTATTAATCAATTATACTATATTTTATATCTAGAAGTTGCTAAGATAAATCTTAAAAGTTCTCACCACACACACAAAAAAAATATTTGTTACTATGTGAGGTGATGGATGTGTTAACTAACCTTATTGTGGTAAACAGTTCACACTGCATACATATATCAAATAATTATGTTGTACACTTTAAATTTATACAATGTTATATGTCAATTATCCTATATAATAAAGGCCTAATATGCAAATTGTCCCCTCGGGTGGTCATTCGACAGGGAGTTCGACCACTCACTATGACGTGCGCTGACCACCAGGGGGGCAGCGCGGAACATGGCAGGCGTCAGCGACGTGGTGCTGGCAGCGGGTGACAGTGGAGGCAATGCCAGCCCCAATGGGCCCTGACGAGAGCAGGACCACAGCGGGATGGTGGAGCAGGAGAGTGGGTGGCACAAGGTCAAGGCAGGTGTAAGCATGGGGCCTGCCCCACAGATAGGGACCAGTGGCAGCGGCGGTGGACAGCGGGGCAGCCACCCAACTCCCAGGCACTGAGGGAGCCAGGCGGGGAGGCCCCAGCCCCAACCGATCGCCCCACAGGCGGGATGGTGGAGTAGGTGAGGGGGCGGTGCCAGGCCAAGGCGGGGTACCAGGTGGGCTACGAGGCTGCGAGGCTGGGGGCACGAACTGGGGCCCGATCTCCGCAGGCCACCCTGAGAGACCCCACCTGTGCATGAATTCGTGCACCGGGCCTCTAGTATCTCAATAAAGCTGGAAAACATTAAAATTTAACTTTAACTGATGAGTTTAATACTTTACTCATGGACTTTCAATCGAATGTTGTTTTTAAATATTTCAAAGGTTAAACAATAACAGCCACTGTCTACTATATGACTACTAAGTTAAGGGCTTTCTAGACATTCTCTCTACTCTTACAACCCTCCATGGTCAGTATTATGCCTATTTTACAAATAATGAAACATATACATTGAAGCTAAGTAACAGACACTGATAGAGCTAGAATTTGAACCTAGATCTCTCTGAGTCTACAGTTCCCCCATGCCAGGCAAATGGCAACATTAATGGGCAAAATCTCTAGTCTAAGGAAATTAGCTCATAATTAAAATCTTCAAATCTATAGCTGACAGTAATCTGATTGTATAGGGTGGGGCAAAAGTAGGTTTACAGTTAGTTATTCATTTGGCCAATAAGTAATAATACAGTAAATAATAATACAAGAATAAACCCTATTTGGCAAACTCACAACTGTAAACCTACTTCTGCCCCATCCTGCATAACTTAGTAGGATATATTTTAAGGACAAAAAGAAGTACAAAAATCTTGAATTCAGTAAGTTTGTTGTTAGTTATGGTATTGGTGGTATAATACTGAAACTGTTTTTTGTGTATGTTGTAACTGCCCTCCCCTGCCGGCCTGATCGCCCACAACTGCCCTTCCTGCTGGCCTATTTGCCCCAACTGCCCTCCCCTGCTGGCCATCCTGTGATGACGTGAGGGCGGCCATCTTGTGGTGGCCATCTTCTGGCAGCCATCTTGTGATGATGTCGCCCGAGGGCATCGTGCCACCTAGGCTTTTATTATATAGAATGATTTTGTGGCAGGTTTATCTTGATTTTACATTTTGAGAACTTAAAAGAAAAATCCTGAAAATAGTGAAGGGGTAAGGATGAGATCAGTAAGGAGAACCCACCTCCATCATTACTAACTTTTCAGGATATGCCAGATCTCCAGGAGCCGGCTTGTAGCCAATGATGTCTGTCTGAATGTAGATGTGGGTTCTGTAGACGAGCCGCTCTTGTACATCTTCCAACATCTGCTTTACTCCAGCTGCAAATGCCCCTAGTTGTTCAGCTGATTTAAAAAAAAGTACAATCACCCATTCTTTCAGATTTAGAAAAATACTTTCTTTAAATAAGCAAATATATTACTAAATTGTCTAGTAACAGTATGAACCACTTTTGCTTCATGGCCTGAGGTTATATATATCTACTCTATTTCAGTGTGACTCAATGACCTTAAAAAATTTAATAAATGTCTTTCAATTTCCTTAAATTTACAATTGGGAAATAACTTTGCCCTTGCATCTTCTTCCTGGGACTCTGTGAAATTATTTCTATTATTAATATGTATGAATAATAAAATCTGACTTTTAAAGTGTTTTGTACTTTTTAAGTTATCTCATACAGCTTCAGACCAATCCTAAGAGATAGCTAAGCCAACTTATTAATTGGGTTATCATCCCCATTTTACAAATAAATTGGGTCCCACAGATATTAAATGACATGTTAATATTTTCACAAAGAAAAATGATTTAAAAATAAAATGAGATATGATTTTATATAGAATTTCTTCATTTCTAAGATGCCATCAATGTTAAGACACACCAGTAATTCAGTAACAGCTTCCCAATGCTGGGGAGTTGAAGACACTGCACAATCACATAAATATTCACATTAATTTTAAAAATCATCTTTAATTCAGAAGCATTAATGTAAGAAAATGCCCTCCTTAATTTCAAATGCATAAAAGAAACTGCAAAACTGTTATTCTCTGGAGCATTTGATCTTGCTTGCCAGCATATGTTATGTTTGGCTCAAATAAACTAATAAAAAAAGTTCAAAAAAAAAATGAGAACATGTATGTCTTTGAATGAAGTAAATGCAATAGAATAAGAAACTTTGAAAGAGTAACAAACCTACAGTGTCTCCTAAGGAAAGTCAAATAATTTCTGCCAGTAAAATGATTACTTGAAGGGTATTTTTTTAAAGGTACCTATGTATCATTAGGAAAATTGTTTGACAAATCAAATATTGAGGAGTGTATCACATGTATAAAACAAATCTGTTTTAGAGAATAGCTTTTATATATATATATAATTTCAAAAAGATGAATCATTATTATGTATGTATGCTGAAATAATTCCTGTTTTTTAATCAAGAGTATACAATATAGCCCTGACCGGTGCTGCACAGTGGTTAGAGCATCAGCCCTCGCACCAAAAGGTCGAGGGTTTGATTCCCGGTCAGGAGCACATTCCTGGGTGAGTGCAAAAGGCAGCCAATCAATGTCTCTCTCTCACATCTCTCTCTCCTCTCTCTCTCTCTCTCTCTCTCTCTCTCTCTCTCTCTCTCTCTCTCTCCTTCCCCCCCTCCCTTCCACTCTCTCTAGAAAATCAAGGGGGTGGGGGGGAGGACAGTATACAATATAGTCAATTTATGTACTCTGGTAACTGTGTACTAAAAATGCATAAACCAAAACTGATGGTCTGTTCTCTCTGGATTTCAGATGCCAGAAAGTAAAGTAACTATAATTCTTTTATTACTAATTTTGTTCAGATTTTAAAATGCTCTCCCCATTCAATTTGTACATTTAGTCACAGAATAAGGTACATCTTAATTCAGAAAGAGATAAGGCATCAGCCCAGGCTTCAAAAATATTAAGTTTATATAGGTGGAAAGGTACAGGGAGAAAGAACTAATCTTTCTTAAATTCACTGAGCCACAGATATAAAAGGCCTTTGAAATTATCACTCTTACTTATCATTTACCATTGTTCTGTACATGATCTTCCAGCACCTCATTTTTAAGAATCCCACAAAGTTCTGAAAGCGTCTCTAAGTGAATAACATGAATGATCAATGGCCTGAAGACATCATACAATGACACACACAGTTTCTCCAAAAGTTCACTAAAATAAAGAAATAAAACATGGTTTAATAGCAATCTTTCCAGTTTAAAAGACATTTTTTATTATTTCCATCCAATAAACCTAGTAAAAAATCTACTAGGAAATAGTATGGGGAACATTATATAAAAAAGATGAAAGGCTGAAAATAATTCTGTAAAGTGCTATTTTAAAAGCCAAGAATCAGCCCTAACCGGTTTGGCTCAGTGGATAGAGCGTCGGCCTAAGGACTGAAGGGTCCCAGGTTCAATTCCGGTCAAGGGCATGTACCTTGGTTGCGGGCACATACCCAGTAGGGAGTGTGCAGGAGGCAGCTGATCGATGTTTCTCTCTCATCGATGTTTCTAACTATCCGTCTCCCTTCCTCTCTGTAAAAAATCAATAAAATATATTTAAAAAAATAAAAAATAAATAAAAGCCAAGAATCAATAAACAATGAGCAATCAATTCAAATTAGCTGCCTCCAGCCAAATGTCAATTTATTACAACTTTTACTTATTTCAGTAATAACTTTGTATATGTCCCTTCAAACACAATAAAAAGTAATCAGTAGACTTAATTATCCTTTTATATTCTACATCACTGTGAATCAAATGGTAACATTTTCCCCAGGAAAGATACATTCAGAATTCTTGAATACTTGCAGATTCAGATTAACAAAACTCAAAGTACTCTGGACATGCAAGTATTTTGACAAAAACATTTGAAAAGAAAAAACTATGTTGTCTACATTATTCATATTGTCAATAGTATTCTTCTATATGCAGTATTTCATCAAAAGTGATCAACCCAGCCTAACTGGTTTGGCTCAATGGATAGAGCGCCGGCCTGGGGAGTGAAGGGTTCCAGGTTCAATTCCAGTCAAGGGCATATACCTTGGTTGTGGGCACATCCCCAATATGGAGTGTGCAGGAGGCAGCTAAATTGATGTTTCTCTCTTATCAATGTTTCTAACTCTCTATCCCCCTCTCCCTTTCTCTCTGTAAAAAAAAAAACAAAAAACAAAAGTGATCAACCCAATCAAAACAGTACAATACACTTGTCTCTTCACCATTATAAGGATCACAGTCTTGGACTCTTTATAGCAGTCCAAACTGCCAATTAGAAGAAACCGAAAGTTAATAACAGTGAATCGGAAAGACACTTTGGGAAAACTTTTTTAAAAGGATATTAAGTAGTGTCTGTATTTTTAAGTGTCTTTCATTAGTTAGAAACACAGAATTTTTTTAACTGGAAGGATTTATTTACTTGGTGGAGATAAAGGGATCCCAAGACTTAGTTCTCTATATAGGATTCTTACTATCATACCATACTATCTCCATAATTATAACAATATGGAAGCATGTTGGCCTTTAAATTATACATTCATCTTAAAATAAATAAACACTGTCCCACTCGACAGTATTCTGTTCACACACCCACAAAAGTTAAAACACTCTGCAGTTAATTTAAGAAGACTCCCATGTAATAATAAGCCATTATGATCATTAGCAAATTAAATCTTAAAAACAAGAGTTAAACTCTGTGTACTACCTACTCTAATTTTGATGTTGGTTTTGTGAAAAATTCATTGTAAAGTTGGTGCTCATCCTGGCACACATGGACCATAAAGGCACAGCCACTGCGAATCTGTAGGAAACAAATACACACCACCTATAGTTAAAGACACATAACAATTCTAGTGTTCATGAAATAAAGCAAGTATTTTATTGATAAAGAGATTATGCATATATATTCATATAACAAGTTACTTAAGCACAGAAAATTATTGGTTTTCAATAGCTGACTGCATAATGTAAATATGGATGATTTTTATTTTCTTCATTATGCATTTTCTAAACTTTTGACAATGAAAATAAATTACTTTTCTAGTTGAATAGGGGGTACTTAAAAAGAATTTTTATGTACTTTTTTAATAGTATAAATTAAAATCACACTAAACAGAAAAGCACTTGTGCAGAAAAAGCTAAGATAAATCCACAAACTTGAAACTTCATCTTTCTAGGAACAATACTTGTTTGTGAATCTTCATAGGTCCAAAAATAGATCAAAATGAGAATATTTTGCCAAGTTGAATGCTAATTACAACCTAAATTTGTCATAACTGAAAGAAAAATTCTCTAAGTTTGTATCTATGGAAAACAAAACTTATTTAGCCAAATATAGCTTCTAGGGTATCAAAATATCTCAGAGGAAGGTTAATATTAAACCAAAACAAGCAGAAACTTACCAAGGCACAATGATCTCTGTTATTCTGGCTGGTTAACTCTGTTACAGTACAAGTAATACTAGGCCCCAAAAGGAGCTCCCGCTGATCAAGGTAACACTGGTGGATGTCATTTAGCAATTGTTGGTATCTGATGAAAAACAAATGAGATGGGTATAAACTTTTGATTTCAGATATATAAATTAAATCTGATCTTAAGTCCCAGATTAGGTTGCCAAACCTCTAATGCTATAAGGTCACCTCTCATTTGCCCACATTAAATACCAGAAATATTTATCTTTACTAATAATCTATACTAATAAAAGGGTAATATGCTAATTAGACCGGACATCTTCTGGACGTACTTCTGGACAAAGCCACGGTGGCAGGGGCCAAGGCAGAGGTGGTTAGAGGTGATCAGGCCAGCAAGGGGGAGCAGTTAGGGGGCGGTCAGGCCAGCAGGGGGCAGCAGTTAGGGGCAATCAGGCCAGCAGGGGGGAGCAGTTAGGGGGCAATCAGCCCGGCAGGGGAGGGCAATTAGGAGGCGATCAGGCCGGCAGGGGAGGGCAGTAAGGGGGCAATCAGGATGGCAGGGGAGGGCAGTTAGGGGGCAATCAGGCCAGCAGGGGAGCAGTTAGGGGGTAATCAGGCCGGCAGGGGAGCAGTTAAGGGGAGATCAGGCTGGCAGGGAAGCAGTTAGGTGGCAATCAGGCCGGCAGGGGAGGGCAGTTAGGGGCAATCAGGCTGACAGGCAGAGGTGGTGAGGGGCCATCAGGCAGGCAGGCCGGCAAGTGGTTAGGAGCCAGCGTTCCCGGATGGTGAGAGAGATGTCTGACTGTGGGATCAGGCCTAAACCGGCAGTCAGACATCCCCCAAGGGGTCCCAGATTGAAGAGGGTGCAGGCCAGACTGAAGGACACACACCCGCCCCCGCCGTGCATGAATTTCATGCACCGGACCTCTGGTGTGTGTATATATATAAAAAGACACACATAATAAACTGTGGTGTCATGACCTTTATCATTTTGTTATTTAAACGAAATATGAGTGTGTATTCAATTTGTAAATTAAATTCTCTAACCTTGGAGTTTAAATCTTTATTTTTTAATGAAAGATTTATCTTCCAAGAGTAAACATCTTAAATATACCCAAATGAAAAGAAAATCCTGCTATGGGGAAAAAGAGATGCCTTGATGAAATGTACAGCATAGCAATTATAGTTAATGATATTACACTGCATATTTAAAAGTTGCTAAGAGAGTAAATCTTAAAAGTTTTCATCACAAGAAAAAAATTAATTTTGTAACTATGCATGGTAATGGATGTTATCTAGACTTACAGTGATGACATATTGAATCATTATGTTGTATTAGTATACCTGAAACTAGTAAGTTAGATATCATTATTCCTCAATAAAAATAAGTAAATAAATAAATAAACAAACAGAGAGTGTGCCTTGAACACTCACTATATCAGACCACCAACCCTGCTCCCCACAATAAGGGATGTGTAGTATGCAAGGTAATTGCTCAGAAAATTACATAATAGACTGGGGGAAATAGTACTTCAAGAGGAAGGTAATTTGGAAACTGAAGAACATCTAGGTACTCACTCAGGTATTTTTTCAGATCGCTGTTCTATTTGTTCAATAAGAGTCTGCAGAATTAAAAAAAAAAAACATTAAAAATCTATCTGTTTTAGTTATGGACCATTAACTACTTTCTGATTATAACACATGCTATTAGAAAATCTGTAAATTCAAAAAAGTTGAAACATAAATATCACCTGTAATACCACAAAATAATCAGTTAATATTTTAGAATATTCTTTCCGTTTTTTGTATACACATACTATAGTTACTATATTTTTCTTTTTTTTAATCCTCACTGAGGATATTTTTCCTGTTGATTTTTAGAGAGAGTAGAAGGGAGGGAGCAGGTAAAGGGGTGGGGAGAGAAACATCATTTGGTTGCCTCCTGCGTGGGATCAAACCTACAACCCAGGACCCAGGTACATGCCTTTGACAGGGAATCAAACCCGGGACCCTTTGGTTGACACTCCAACCACTGACCCACAATGGCCACGACTATATTTTTCTTTTTAAACAAAACTGGAATTATACTACATATCCAGCTTTATATACTGATTTTAAAAAATTAACTGTATTTCAAAACATTTTCCTATTATTAAATAATTTTCATTATCAGATGAAAACATAAAAAGAAAGCCTTAGCATAACGCCTGGGTATCTAGCAAACACTCAGTGAATCATCATTATAAATATTATTTAAAACATTTGTTTAGCCCTAGCCGGTTTGGCTCAGTCAGTGAATAGAGCGTCGGCCTGTGGACTGAAGGGTCCTGGGTTCAATTCCGGTCAAGGGCACTTATCTGGGTTACGGGCTCAATCCCCAGGTTACGGGGCGTGCAGGAGGCAGCTGATCAATGATTCTCTCTTATCATTGATATTTCTATCTCTCTCTCCCTCTCCCTTCCTCTCTGAAATCAATAAAAAAATATTTTTAATGAAAAACAAAAAAAATTTGTTTAATGACTACATAATATCCCCTTGGGTAGATGTAATGGATGCTATCTAGACTTACAGTGATGACATATTGAATGGTTAACATAAATCAACCATTCTTCTACTGTTAGACATCTTGGCCAGTGGTTAAGAGCTCTGGGTCTAGAGAAAAACTGAAGGGTCTGAGTGCCACCTCCCCAGTAGCTGTTTTGAGCCCAGGAGAGCTGGTTCACTTCTCTGAGATTCCACTTTCTACCACATAAAGCTGATATAATAATAGTTACCTACTATGCAGTGGAGAACCCCTAACACTGGGTCATAAGAGATAAATATTTTTTATAGGCCCAAAATATTTTTGAGAAATTGCTTTACATCCCTATTAGCAGTATTGCCTATCTCATTAAATCCTCAAAACCACTATTATACCTTAACCTCCTAGTTTCTAACAGACACACACACACAAAAAAAAAATGCCACCTAACCTTAAATTGAATGTATTCTCCACTGAAGCTAAACACGAGCTCATATTTATTAACCATTTGTATTTTCTATAAGTAATCAATCCCCTCCAATCCACTATAAATCTGAGTAGTTTAAGCTCAAATATCTTCTTCATCTAGAAACATTCCCTAAGCATCTCAGGAGGTATTTCCTGCTCCGTGATCTAAAGGCACTCTAAGATAATGCAATGTAATGTGAAGGACAATGCCTACCTTTCTTTCATTTATGTTCATTTTCCTGGTATAAGATAAGGGCCTAACATACAGTACTTCAAAAGGGCTGGCTAAATAAATTTCATACCACTATCCTATTTATAACAACAGACTTACTCTGACTTTGGGAGCAGCAGTTCGAAATTTCACATAAAATAGTGTGAAAGCATTGTCTGCATTAGGTACAGATGAAGGATCCTGAAGAAACATGGGGAAGGATAGAGAAGGAAGATAATTAGCAAACAAATAAGTATTCAGAAAGTGTGATACACAGCATTTCCAATAGTTACTTCTTGGCCTATACACCAACCGAAAGTTTAGAGAGAAAAATCTGAGAGAGAGATTAATATTATTATTACTACAAATGAGAAATAATTATGAGAAATCATCATCTCTCTTTTATAACTAAAACTTACCCCATGTTACATGAATTTTTGGCAGTAAAGAGACCTGAATTCAGCTTCATACTCAGTCATTTACTGAGGGTAGGACATTAGCCAAATTACTTAACCTCTCTGAGATTCAGAGCATCCATTACATGGTGATAACCTATACTCACAAAGTCATAATGCAGCTCAATAGTAAAGCACTATACATAGCAGGTAGTAGTACTTATTAGGTATTAGTTTCCAAAACTTATTAAAAATTTTACAAAATATAACAACATAAACTGATGAACAAAATTAGATCCAAAGACATAGAAGCATGAACAGACTGTCAAACCTCAGGGGGAAGACAGGGGAGGGTGGGCATGGGTAGGAAGAGATCAACCAATGAACTTGTATGCATATATGCATAACCCAGGAACACAGGCAATAGGGGTGGTAAAGGCCTGGGGTTGGGGGCAGGGGTGGGCTGGGAGAGGTCAATGGGGGAAAAGGGAGACATATGTAATACTTTCAACAATAAAGATTTAAAAATTTGTAATCTAATTTAAATTTTAAAAAATAAATTTACAAAATAGAAAAATTACATAGTCTGGCTGTTATCTTAGCTAAGATCAATATGAAGAGTAAAAATGCAACCCAAAAATCAGTGGCTTTGAACTCAAAGGTCAGAAGACATTCGGTGTTCTTTAAGAAAACTTAAAAGATAAAATGCATAATCTTTCACGTTTTCTTTTCTTAGTAAACAAATAACCATCCTAGCTAGCTCCACTTTTATTTTCTAACTCAACACTCTGCTAATTTCCCACCTAGCATCTACTACAATCTGCAAATGATTAATTTGTTTGTTTCCTTCTTTACTGATTATATCTCCTGAAATTAAGCTCCATGAGTGCAGGGACCTTGTTAGCTCCTTTTTCACTACAGTATAACTCCTAGAACCATGCAAAGCATTTAGGAGGTACTCAATAAAAATACATTTGCTAAACATAGAAAATTTAATTATCTACCACATGTAAAGAAAAAAATTTCAAATTATCCATCATATGTAATCTCACCACTCAGACAGAACCACTTTTATTATTTTGGCATATTTCCTTCCAATATTTTCATGAAAAGATAAGAAAATGTTTTAAGTGACAAATAGTTGATTATTTATCATTAGTACTGAATAGCTCCCACACTGTTATATATTCTTTGAAAATAAGACTCTGCTGGACAAATACAATACAACCACTTTTCCTATTATAAATAAAACTGCAATGCTGCCCTAGCTGGTCGGCTCAGTGGGTAAAGTGTAGGCCTGTGGACTGAAGGGTCCCAGGTTTGATTCTGGTCAAGAACACATGCCCAACACATATGTACTACCTTAATCAACAAAGAAAGAAAAATAAATAAAAATTTAAAAAATTTAAAAAAAAAAAAACATGCCCAGGTTGCGGGCTCGATCCCCAGTAGAGGGCGTGCAGGAGGCAGGCGGATCAATCATCAGTGATGTTTCTCTCTCTCTTTCCTTCTCCCTTCCTCTCTGAAATCAGTAAAAAAATATATTTTTTTAAAATATATTTTATTGATTTTTTACAGAGAGGAAGGGAGAGGGATAGAGAGTCAGAAACATCAATGAGAGAGAAACATCGATCAGCTGCCTCCTGCACACTCCCTACTGGGGATGTGCCCGCAACCAAGGTACATGCCCTTGACCGGAATCGAACCTGGGACCCTTGATTCCGCAGGCCGACGCTCTATCCACTGAGCCAAACTAGCTAGGGCAAAAAATATATATTTTAAAAAAAAAAACTTCAATGCATATTCTTATTTAACAAACAGTAAACAATGTTTTGGATTTACTAAGTATTACTCTCAGACTAAGATTATAGAAGATAAATGAATCAAAAACAAACCAAAAACCTCACCAGTTAACTCACCCTTTTTAATAACTGATTTGTGAGGTTCTGTAGTGTGTTCACAGTGTATGTTTTCATGAGGTGCAAAGCTTTAGAAAGACATTGCTTAAACTTCAGTAAATATACGGGATAATCTTTAAAATTCGGCTGTAAAGAAAAAGAAAAGGTTTACAAAGAGGAAACAAATGTTGACAAAACAAACTTTCAATGAAAACCAAAATGTCCTTTATGTAAAGCTATATATGAAACTCTAAAAAAGGACTTATGCAAATTAAGTTTCATGAAGACAAATATTGTGACTGTCTTGGTCACAGCCAAGTCCCCTGTGCCTGGCACAAATAGGGGCTCAATAAATATTAGTAGTTTTTAGCAAAATATATTTTCAGTACTCCATAGACTTCAAGTCTAATATGTCAGACTCAACTAGAAAAAGAATATGAGTTGGGGGAAATAAATACAGCTATAAATAAATCCTTGGGGAATAATATCTAGCACAACAGAAATTCATGAGCCTGAAAATTGCTTTCTTTCAGATGGGATAAAGCTGTGTCAGTCAGAACCTCATTCTACTCCAGGGGCTGCCTCAGCAGCTGAATGTACTTCTTACATCACTCTCATGATGACTAAGAATTTACCACAGTTTTTCTTCAAGAACATTAGAGATACTTTTTCCCTTCAGAAGAAATAATTACTTTATAGCCTAAGAAGCAAATTAATAGGGTTGCTAAGGTTTCTTAAAAAACACAGAAATAGCATAACTTACATGACATGAGATATATGTTATACAGTCATCTAACTTGGCCAGCATAGGTATAAATCCTTCACTATTCACAGACAATGTAGGAGAATTCAATTTCTTTAAGAAAAAAGAAAAGACCTTAATTTATAAAAATATATGTAGGCAAAAATTAATTTAAAAATTATGTATTAGAATTAGAATATCTCCCTTTAGGATATAACACAGTTATACTAATGTCTTTACTTTTTTTTTTTTTTTTAGTATAATTTTATTGATTTCAGAGAGGGAGGGAGGGGGAGAGAGAGAGAGAAACATCAATGATGACAGAGAATCACTGATCAGCTCCCTCCTGTATGACCACACCAGGGATCGAGCCTGCAACCTGGGCATGTGCCCTGACAGGAATTGAACCATGACCTTCTGATTCACAGATTAACGCTCAACCACTGAGCCATACCAGCCAGGCACAATGTCTTTACATTTTGAGTGACCAAAATATCCTCAAATGTAGCCCATGTGCAATAAAGAACATCTAAAAGAGAATACTGCCCTGACCACTGTGCTCAGTGGTTAGAGAGTCAGCCCTCGCACCAAAGGGTCATGAGTTCGATTCCCGGTCAAGGGCACATACTTGTGTTGCAGGTTCAATTCCCGGCCCTGGTTGTGCTCATGGGTGTGGCAGGCAACCAATCAATGTGTCTCTCTCACATTGATGTTTCCCTCCCTTTCTCTTTAGCTCTCACCTCAGGTGAAAATTAACAAAACAACAAAAAGAATATTGATTTAATTCAGTTTATTCTTAGTGAGTTTTAATGGGGCTCTTGATGAATTGGCAAATAATTTCTATTACGCCACTGTACAATGTTATATTAAAATAACACATCGAGTACCTAAACTTCCCATTTACTAGTACTTTACAAAAAGTAAAAAACATACATAAATTTCCTAATTTCAAACACTGGCTATTTTCCCAAGGTTAAAGGATTAAGTAGCAGTCAGTCATACTATATTTAGCAGTCATACTATGAAAGTAAAATATAATACTTATAAGTAAAATATAAGCATATAAGTAATAATATTAACAATATAAGTATAGGTAATATATATGTGTGAAATTTAACACAATATAATATATAAGATTATATATTAAAACATAAAGCAATACAGTAATATTCTCAACAATAAAGATTAAAAAGAAATAAAAAATAAAAGTTTGAAAAATGGCCTTTGTTTTCTTCTGCCCATCCCCATATTTCATGATCCACGTAAGCCCCTTGGGCCTCATGGCCCTCTGTTTGCAGAACAACTTGAGTCTGGCTTTGGGATGCTGCAAAGGGGATTGCCCAGAGGGTCACTGGCACCTTCTCCTGTGAGCACCCAGAGGTCACACCTGATTTCTTTTACCAAGTCCAGAAGAGAGTGAGAAGCCAGGGCACAGAGGGCATCGGGGTGAAGGCACCGCTCCAGCTCCCAAACTGGCTGCTGCTGCCCCCAGGTCTCAGGCATACAGTCAACGTGGTACCCATGTTGCAGTTCCCAGTGGAGACTGGGCTGCAGTCCCCACTACTCAGGCCACTGACTGGGCTGGAATTACCACTGACTGGTCTTAGCTGTTCTTTCTAAAATTCTCCAGCAGAAAATGAAAATAAACCATTTCTAAGAGTTGTGTCCATTGAAAAACATTCCTGAGGCCTAGAGTTGAGCCTCAGGGAAGGCTGTGGGCTGATGCCCCCCCCCCCCCCCCCCCCCCCCCCCCCCCCCCCCCGGCGGCGGGGGGGGGGGGGGGGGGGGGGATGCAGCCTCAGGTACCCTGGCCCCAACCATTTGCATATTAGCTCTTTATTACATAGGATATAAAATGTAAGTAAAACCAGCAATTATTTCTTATCTCGATATACAAATAGCTTGGCAATGAACTATTTCCCATTCTATTCCATTGTTAATTGACTACTAGTTTTACTTCCATCTTTTAGTAAATTATAATTATGATTAGTTTAATATTTAAATAACATACTGTGATTATAGTTATGATTATTTTATGAACCAGCAATATCATTTACACAACAATCTTTATTGAGACTATTACTTTGGGATAAAAAAATACATTATGAGGACTATACTTTTCCTCATACTACATATGAGATTAGTTTAAAACATGTTTTTATTATTATTACTAGTGCCCCAGTGCACAGATTCGTGCACATTGAAAGGAAATTAATTAGAAGGTAGCCGGCAGGGTGGGACTGGGCAAGACGGGCCGGGACATGCCCTGGAACCACCTCCCATGGTCCCTTCCCAACAGGCTGCACCAGGGGTGGCGCTGCAACTCAAGGGGTGTCTGCGGAGTGAGCGGGGTTCCTCCAGCAGGTGGGGTCCCTCAGCTTGGCCTGCAGGGATCAGCCAAAACCGGCTCTCCAACATCCCTTGAGGGGTGCCGGATTTCGAGAGGGCAGTTCTCAAGTGATACACCCCAGAATCAGACTTCCTCCTCTCTGGTTCCGGGGTACATCACCCAAGAACCGCCACTGCCAAGTCACCACAGATTGGCAGCTCCTGCATTGAGCGTCTGGCCCCTGGTGGTCAGTGCACATCATCGCTACCAGTCGGATGGTCAGACGGTCACTTAGCCTTTTATATATATAGATAGTAGTTCAAACAGCAAGATTTAAAATTTAATATTTCTTCTTATAATCTTTCTCACAGCTCATAAATAAGATACTATAAGAGGTAACCAACAAAGTTTTTTAAAATTTTTTTATATATATATGTTTATTGATTTCAGAGAGGGAGAGAGAGAAACAATGAGAGAATCATTAATTGGCTGCCTCCTGCACATCCCCTGGGATCAAGCACACAACCCAGGCATGTGCCCTGACCAGGAATAGAACCATGACCTCCTGGTACATAGGTCGACACTCAACCACTGAGTCACACCGGCCGGGCAACAAAAAGATTTTTTGTAACAGTAATACAATTTAAACAGAACTATTACTTAAATCATATTTGAAAAAAATCTGAACTGATAATGGTATGTCCATCAGCCACAAAGAGGAATACTTTCATCAAGCAAACTATTAAGTTAAAATATCACTCAAGCCAATTTACAGGTTTCAAGATTATTTTCAGAAAGGGAAATATAAAATAGTCACTAACTTTACAAAAAGTAAAAAACATGCTTACTGTGTTAATAGTTTCCAATTCATTGAAATAGGAAAGCTTTTGTTGAATGTTTTCAGCCAGATCAACAAGTTCCGACTTGCATTTTTTAAAAGAGAAAAATCAGTTATTACGAGAACATAAAAACCAACACTCCAGTTTCAAAAATTATCTGAATTGATATACATAAGTCATAAGATTTCAGAATAATGCTCAAAGATTTTTGCAATCATGAACTAAAATCAGCAATGATTATCACAGTAAATCATATTATTTTGTAACCTTACAAAATAATAATTAATTGCCTTTTAAAAAACAGAACACACATAAAGAAAACTCTGAGATAAACATAGTAACGAAAATAGTCTATCTTTAAGTCACAATTTAAACACTACCTACATCACTTCATCTTTTCTTAAACCCCATCATTACCCATAATTGCTATGCCTGTTTCAAAAGTATCAATGATAAAGAGCAGACAGAGCAAATTAATATATATTCTTCACTCTGAAAGTGTACTGAGACCTAATAGCTCAAAACATAGGAAAGCTTATCCTTGCCCCTGTTCACATAAGCTTACTTAGAATGAAAAGAAGGCTGTCAATGTAATATTCTGCACTCTTATTAGCACAGGGCCTTATATAGAGCAGTGTTCAATACCTAAGTTGGAGAAATTAAGGAAACTAGAATTAAAAAGTATTCATCTATTTTAAAATAAAATAGTAAGTATAATCACTGACCCTCTCTCCTACTCCAAATTACCTGTTCTTTTAGGAGTTGTTCACAGGCTTCGTGTAGGGTTCCTGTCTTATTGGACACAAAAAGATACTGTTTCTGCAATGATTCCAGATGCTGAAGAGCATTGTTTACATCATTCAATATAGCATCACACTGCTCCTGAAACCCAGACAAGTAATCCCTCATCTGTCTAGAAAACAGAACCAAAAGGGGATTGGCAATAATATTTTCCCCCAATAAACATAGAAAATAAACAGCAAAGTCTAATTTTTCCCCCCAAACACTTGAATTTCAGGAGGAAAGTCAGGCCTATTCACTACAGTTCATTACATTCAGAAATCTACCAAAAGCTATGTTACAGATTGTTTCAATACTTAAGAAGGAAAATTATTGAAACTAAAAGGAGCAACAACAACAACAAAAACAATTTAAAAAAAAAAAAAAGCCCAGCCAGTGTTGCTCAGTGGTTGAGTGTCAAGTTATGAACCAGGAGGTAATGGTTTGATTCCCAGTCAGGACACATGCCTGGACTGCAGGCGACATCCTCAGTGTGGGGCATGTAGGAGGCAGCCGATCAATGATTCTCTCTCATCATTATGTTTCTATCAGTCTCTATCAGTCTCTCTCCCTTTTCCTTCCTCTCGGAAATCAATAAATACATTTTTTTTAAATATTTAATTTTAAAAGGAGCAACAAAAGGAATCAGCCTTGAAGCCATAAACTGGCTTTTCACATGTAAGGCAATAAATCACCAGCTCAACTTTCAAAGTCTGAGACACAAGGGCCATCCATCCCAAGGCATCAAGGTCAATCCTTCAGGTCACTTCCACCTTTGAGAGATAGTGTGATGTCATGGAAGAATTCTGGACTCAAAATTAGAAGACCTAAGTCTAAATCCCAGCTCTGCCCAAGTCTCCATGACATTAGGCAAACTACTTTAATATTTCCAGGCCTCAGTTTGCTCATTTGTAAAATGGGAATAATATTATCTTTTCTCATAGAGCTGCTACAAAGATTAAATGGAATCATACATCAAAGGGCCTAACACAAAGCTTAGTAATTACAGTCACTTAATAAATGTTCACTGAATGCAAGCCATAGTCCCCAAATCCGCCAGAAACTGTATAGCACCATTTCTCCCTTGCTATCAATACACACAAACAGAACAACATGGTTACACCCTGGAATCTAGGTGGCCATCCATAAAGTCTCCTGGGTCTCCCCTTCTAAAGAAAGGCAACAAATACCTCTTAGAGTTCCTGTACAATTACCATTTAAACCCAAACTTTCTAGTTATCTAAAAACCAATGTCTGCCACCCCCTCCACCCCCCCAACCCCTGCTAACTTATTAATTACAATGTAATTTTTTTTTCAATTACACAGCTTCTAATACCAGTTAACCCAAATCCTCTCCCTGGCTACTTATAAAGAAAATATTGCTGTTGAAGTTTTCTTTGTATGTTAATTTTATTTACAGACACAGGTTACAAAATGTTTTAGATGACTGTGATCTAAAAATTAGGATAGCCAACAAATGCAAGAGCCACATACCTATATTTAGTTTCTTCATCCTGATCCATCTGAGTTTGTAACTTTGCAAACCATGAGAAAAACTGGAAAAATAAAGAATATTATATTGTCAACAAAACTAAAACAGACAAAATGAAAAGTGACTACATGCTAAACAGCAAGTCAAAAGAGTAACACTAATTCTTATTGTTTGGGGATCAGACATTAATAATTGGTTTTAAACCCAGAGACAATTTAATTGTATAGTCAATATCTGCATGCTAGGAAAAGCAAAGGATATTAAAAACAATGGCCCATGGACAACAATGTGGTGATTGCCAGGGAGAGGGAGGAGCGGAGAAAGTGGAGGAGGGTATGGGGGGGACAAATGATAAGGGACAGAGACTTCACTTGGGGTGGTGAACCCAGAGTATAGTGTACAGATAATGTGTTGTGGAATTGTGCACCTGAAACCTACATAATTTTGTTAACCAGTATCACCCCAGTAAATTCAATAAAAAAGAAAAAAAAAAGGGTCATTTTCAGAGTTAATTAAAAAGAGTAGTAAAGATATAATACATAAGAAACATTTCTGCTCTTCCCCAAAGTGCCAGAGGTGATCTTTGAAAATGATTCACTATTCACTTGACCCAGAAAACCCTACAAAATCATGCAAATCAAGAGGCTCAAATCTTCGTGTTCACTTTAAGAACACTCATGAAACTGCTCAGGCCATCAAGGTTATGCATATTCGAAAAGCCACTAAGTATCTGAAGGATGTCACTTTACAGAAGCAGTGTGTGCCATTCCGTCGTTACAATGGTGGAGTTGGTACATATGACCAGGCAAAATAGTGGGGCTGGACACAGGGTCAGTGGCCCAAAAAGAGTGCTGAATTTTTGCTGCACGTGCTTAAAAATGCAGAGAGCACTGCTGAACTTAAGCTTTAGATGTAGGTTCTCTGGTCATTGAGCACATCCAGGTGAACAAAGCTCCCAAGATGCAGCATAGAACCTACAGAGCCCAGGGGTGGATTACCCCATACATGAGTTCTCCCTGCTACAGTGAAAGGACTCTTACTGAAAAGAGCAGATTGTTTCTAAACCAGAAGAGGAGTTTGCACAGGAGAAAAAGATGTCCTAGAAGAAACTGAAGAAACAAAAACTTATGGCCTGGGAGTAAATTCAGCATAAAATAAATACTAATAAAAGAAAGGCAAAAAATAAATATTTCTTCTTGAGAGGCTAAAGCCTATTTGCTAGTTTGCCAATTCTGAGTATGTAACATTGGGCTTTGAGTAAATATTCATATTATCTAGTAGGAATTGTGAGAATATAAACTCATAAATAATATAACAGACTGGTTTAAGAACATGGACTTTTGTATTAGCTAATCCTAGGTTTGAATTCTGGCCCTATATTATGAAAATATCTATTATTAAAAAGAGATGGGAGAGGTTGACCATGACCATGACAAGCATGAGGGAACTTTTGGGCCAATGAAAATGTTTTATATCTTGTCTATATCTTACACAGGTATAGATACTTGTCAAAACTCACCAAAGTGTACACTTAGAATGATTACATTTTACTGTACATAAATTATAACACAATATATTAGATTTTTCTAAATTTAAAAAGAAATATACAAGTGCAAATTTAATCTAGAAGATTATTTTAATAGTCCAAGTAAGTTCACAGACCTGGTGCAAGTTATCTTCTATAATTCTCAAGTGGGATTTGAAGTCAAAGTATGCTTTATTCTCTCAAGAGACTAAGCTTGACAAGTACCTTGGCTATCATTTACTAAACCCTGATTGTGTGTCTGCCACATACTGCATTTACATGCATTATCTTATTTAATTCTCGCAAAAATCCTATGATATAGGTATATAATTATTGTTTACTCATAAGGAAACTAAAGACCTAAGAATAAAAAGTAATGTTCCTAAGCTCACAAGGTGACTTTCAGATCCAGGACCTGACTCGAGAGCTAGAGCTCTTAATCACTTTACTGCACGTCTTCCCTCAACTTACTATACATGCAGGTCAGCATATGTGTTTTATGTTTTACTCAGTAAATGCCTCAGCTTTGATTCTTCACAGAACAGAAAGAGAAGCAGAGAAAGTGGCAGAAGAAACTATTGAACATTTAGATTTTTAATCAGGAATAAGCAAAAAACAAGAGAAGATTACACAGGCTACATTACTAAAAGTAGCTATAAGCATTCATCTAAAGAGAATATTTAGTTGTTGTTCTTAAATTACCTAGCCATAACCCATGGACACAGACAATAGTGTATGAAGGCCTGGGGAGCCGGCAGGAGTAGGGTAGAGGGGTCAATAGAGGGGGTGGGGGGTGCGGGGGGAAGGGACATCTGTAATACTTTCAACAATAAAGATAAATTATAAAATAAATTTACCTAAAAATAGAATGGTATGTGTATGTGTCTGTGTGTGTATGTACACGCACACTGCATGCTGGAGGAGGACATAACATAGACATACACTGGGGGAAGTCAAAAGTACATAAAATACTAAAACCTTAATAAATATAATCAATCAACATCTAAACTTGAAATATATTTTTCTCTGTATTGCATATATGATTGGGCAAAAAGTTCATTCAAAATACTTAACAGCCACAACTAACACAAAATAAAGAATGTTCTAAAAAAATTTTGTTAACTACAGAGTACGGCAAAAGTAGGTTTACAATTGTGAATACACAAAACAGTTTATTCTTGTATTATTATTAATTATTTTCCATACAAACAACTCTAAACCTACTTTTGTCCCACCCTGTATAGTTTCAAAAGTTCAGAACTTTTAATTAGGATCTTTTTTATTAGCCCTGTATCAAGACATTAATTTAAAATGACCAAACATCCTTAGAAACGATATTGCCGCTCACCTGCTGTGCCGTTTCTATTTTTTCTTCTTCCATTTCTAATGAAATAAAACCATTCAAGAGAATGTCTTCTGTAGATTCAGGTACTATTGAAGTCTGTGCAATGGGCAACGACTGGGACGTTAAATTGCATAAGTCTTCAATTGGGAGCTTGAAAAAGAAGAGCCACAAAGATATTTAAATAACTTGAAATTTCACTTAACTCAAGATTGGTATTACAACTCAGTTGTTTTGAAAGATAAATGAAAGGTTTCTATTAAATCATTTGAGGTTAGTGCCATGTAATGCTAACATTTATAACTAGGCTCTCTCTATATTAATGCTAGTCTCAAAACGTCAACATGACACTGATACCCCACCATTAGTAAAATATGGCTTTTTAGTTACCTTTCTAATACTGGTGGTGAATCTATGCAAATGCACACACATTTTCTTACTTGAACAGCTTGTCAACTAGCACCAAAGGCAAAACCTGTGTGCTGTTGAAAGTAGTTTGCCTTCTGTTGTGGCCTCACCCCATAACAAAGAAACAGAATTTCCGGAGGATGAGGCCCAGAAATCAGGATTTTAAAAAGATTCCCAGGTGATTCTAATGTGCAGCCAACGTTAAGAACCACTCATCTAAAGCCTGACCTCATTAACACCAACCAACAGAAAACAAATCACACCCAAGAATTAAGTACCAATAAACATTAACTCCTACCATTTCCACCGCTGGCACACTTTACCCACACTTTTTTGCTGACAAATTTTGAAATTACAACTACATAGAATTTCAGTTTCCCAACTGTTTCAGAAGAGCCCCACATACAAGGCCTCATTTTGATGCCATCAGACCTACAATACTTTCTAGTTCTCCACTACTACTAAAGGTAGTCCAGTGCTAACTTACCTGTAGTGGTATAGACACACTATTTTTAGACCTAAATGAAAGGGAGTGTAGATGCTGGGGAAGTTGTATAAGGGCCTAACTGTTTTGTTTCAATTCCAGTTTTCAGCTCTTAGGTCCAGCAATATAAAATTTTGATCCAATGTCTTAAAAAACTGCCTCCCTGTCTACTCTTCTAGATATAAAAGTTTCATCTGAAGACAGTATTTTCTCTTTAAAACTGAAATAAACTAGATGCAAAATACACCATCACTAATTTAAAAATACAATCCTTTAGCCCTCGCTGATGTGGCTCAGTTGGTTGGAGCATTGTCCCATACACGGAAAGGCAGTGGGTTTGATTCCAGGTCAGGACACATACCCTAGTTGTGGGTTCAATTCGCAGTCTGGCATGTTCAGGAGGAAACCAATTGCTGTTTCGCTTTCATCTCTCTCTCTCTCTCTCTCTCTCTCTCTCTCTCTCTCTCTCTCTCCCCTTTCTCTCTCTCTAAAAAAAATCAAAAAAGCATGTCCTTGGGTGAGAATAACAAAAAATACAACTCTTTAAATACAGGGGGTTTTGCACCTGGGTCCAAGGGGGGGTTATACCTTCTTGCACAGTAAATAACATTATAGTGCAGCCTGGTTTGAGCCTTGCTCCTGCTTATTTATAAGCTACGTAATAATGGGCAAATTACTTTCTGTTTCTAATGCTCAAATTCTTCGCTGTAAAATAGGATCTACATTATCTGTATCAAAAGGCCATTGTGAAAAGAAGTAAACAGAGGTGTGGAAAAGCAGGCTTCTAAGACTGCTGGGAAGCTGCAGACCAAAAAAAGGGGGGGACGGTGCCGGGGAAGGTTCTGGTTCTGCTTTCTGACTCAAGAGCCAAGAGAGGCTAGATCAGCAGTCGCCAACCAGTGGTGCACGGAACACTGCTGGTCTGTGAGGTTCGAAAGGTTGGTGACCACTGGTTTAAGGAAACATTTGGAGCAGCGGTCACCAACCGGTGGTCCATGGACCACTGATGGTCTGTGAGGTCCGAAAGGTTGGCGACAAAGGTAAAGATAAAAATTATGAACAACAAAGTGACAACAAATACACATCTATCAACAAGTGAATCTAAAAATCAAGTGAATAAATAATTTGATGAACAGAATAAACTGGTGAATATAATAGAATCAGGGGCATAGAAAGGGAGTGGACTGACAATTCTCAGGGGGGAAGGGGTGCGGGGGGTGCGGGAAGAGACTGAACAAAAATCATACACCTATGGATGAGGACAGTGGGGGTAGGGGGGTAAGGGCAGAGGGTGGGGTGGGAACCGGGTGGAGGGGAGTTATGGGGGGAAAAAAGAGGAACAACTGTAATAATATGAACAATAAAGATTTAATTTTAAAAAAAAGAGTAAAAAAAAAAATCCAAAAACTGTGGATGATGTCAAGTCATCTAATGTACATGGAATTTGGATCCCAAAATAAGGAGATAATCAGGTAAAAAAAATATTTAAAGAGATAATCGTTGAGAATTTTCCAAAAATAATGAAAGACAACAAACTACAGCTCTGAAAAGCTCAGAGAATTCCAAGCAGAATACACATACATACATCTAGACACATCATATTCAAACTCCTGAAAACCAAAGTTAAAGAGAAAATCCTAAAGGCGGTCATAGGATAAAGACACATTATAACAGAAGAATGAAAATAAAAATTATAGCAGACTTATCAGAAGACAACAAAGCAACATCTTTTAAGAGACAAAGCCAAAAAAAGGTAAATTCATCATTCTTTACCTAGTAAGAATGTCTTTTTTACAGGAAAGAGAAATAAAACCTGTTTAAACAAACCGCAGAGAATGCATTTCCTGCAGACCTATACTAGAAGAAATGTTAAAGGAAGTTCTACAGACAGATGGAATATAATACCAGATGGAAACCTGGATCTACCAAAAGAAAAACAACACACACACACACCTGAGAAGCTCCAGAAATGATTAAAATAGAGGTAAATATAATCATTTTTCTTTACTTTTAATCATTCAGAAAGACAAATGTTAAAAGCAAAAATAATAGCAATGTATTATTATGGCTTTATAACATATGTATGACAACAATAGCACAAAAAAGAGGGAGAAATAGGAGCATACTGTTGTAAGATTCTTATATTATACATGAAGTAATATAATATTTAAAGGCAGACTATGTCTAATTAAATAAATGCTATAAACCTAGGGCAATCACTTAAAATATTGAAAACATTCAAAGGACCTTGCAAAATCCAGTCCTGCAATACCATCCAGACCCATATTTATCTTTAATTCAATTTCCTTTGATAAAAAATATTATAAATATATCTTAAAAGTAATGTAGATAAATTTAAAAACTCTGGTTGTGATACCACATAGTTTTACAAAATGAAAAAGTAATGTAACAATCATCCTATATAATCTACACTAATAAAAGAGAAACATGGTAACTGGCATACGACCGCTACCCTTCCCATTGGCTAATCAGGGAGATATGTAAATTAACTGTCAGCCAAGATGGCGGCTGGCAGCCAGGCAGCTTAAAGCGAACATGAGGCTTGCTTCCTTCATTGAGGGAGGAAGCCAACGGTCCCTGCCTGCGCCTGCGCTGCCGGCCTCTGAGCTGGCAGTTTGAAACTTTGTAACACTTTCAGCCGGCCTGGATCTCAGAGCTAAAGTTATACATTGTTTCGATTATAGAACCAGCAGCAGAAGCCTCAGAGGTAGAGCCAGAGCTAAAGCTGGCCCAGAATAAAAAAAGAAAAAAGAAAAAAAAGG